AAAACATTACCTTTGTGAGCCACAATAGTCTTTGAACTACTTGACAAACAGTAGGGACCAAAAGGTCGTATTCTGGCTCCAAAATTTAGAACAGCTGCAAACGACAATAAGAACTTCTTAAGCTAGCGCAACTCTTTAGCCTGCAGTAAGCCCCTGAGACGCAGGTCGAAATGTCGGTACTGATCAATCATCCGACTGACCAATTGTTAAAGTAAATCGTGATTTATGCTGTTTTCTTTATTTTTACAAGTAAAATCTTGCCAACTAAATGCATTATACTTTGGGATATGGTATTTAGACTGATTTTGTTTGGTTCTGGTCATCCTAAAATTTAGCCTTATCTTCGCGAACGAGTAATATCTTTCTTTTTGCGAAACGCCTGTTTACCTTCATATCGATGCTAACATTTTAAGCTTCACCGATGATCGTCAAATTAAGCATGTTAGACGCCTTTTAAATCCTTCTCTTCATCCATTGCACGTCTTGAATCCTTCGATGTGAATTTTTTTGACAGTTTACGTTTTTATAAAGTATGATGTATATTGCCCAGTTAAGGAATTGCCGTCGCAGTCGCTGGCGGATGCCGTTTTCCTTGGATTTGTGAAAGGCAATTTCAGTTTTTCACGATTGTTCAGTATTGTAGGAAAGATGATTTAGCAATTCCATAATTTATGGCTATGTGATCTTTGCATCTACAACAAATTTTGTTGAATGACATTTAACATATAATTATAACAGTGCTCTTAAAAGACGAAAGGTAATTTAAAACAGCGAAAGTTCAGCTGGAATGCCTCGCAGAGACGTTCTGTTTCGCATCGTCAGATGGGAGATCGGTGTTATTGCTAGGACGCAGCCGAGGACAGTTTCAAGTCAGTTTCTACTGTGTAAAATGGAAGCTGGTTCTACCTTCCGATGTTGCTACCCTCTTTTGCCGCAAAATATAGTTGCGTACACCGGTCAGGTTTCAAAGCAAATTTAAACGCTAGAAGTAGCAGATAAACACGTAATCCGATCACATAATTTTTGCTATTTTTAAATTAGTTTTACTGAAGATTATTCAGAATTAAACGCACTGATAGGATTAACCCGGGGATGATTTTTTTGAATTGTAAATTATTAAAGTACATATTTCCTCGATATTTTGATAGATATTTTCGATATCCTCGATATTTTGAATTTTCGATCGTGCGAACCGATGCGTCATCAGTCTCTGTATCAATCGCGAGCGTAAATATTTTATGCACTGTTTAGCAGCGTATCATATGGTGAAGATTTGATCATAATTATGAGAAATTTACAAAATATAAATGACAAA